TTTGTATAAGTGCTATGTAGAATAGGAAAGTAACTGCTGTCTGCCTCTCCGTACGTCCCCGTTCCTTGAGATCAGTAGTGACCTGGCTGTGCAGCGACCTCCAACACAAACGGGACTCAGTCTTCAAAAGTGCCGGGAACATTCTGTTTCTGCCGACGAGGCATCCTTGGGCTCGGTCCTGAAGGCAGGCTTGCAAGTATCGCTCAGTTCTGTGATACACAGTGAAGGGTGACTGAAATCCACACCACCTGGTTCCTCAGCTTTTGACGTCAAATTCACTCTTCCTTGTCAATGTTTTGAAGACAAGTCATCACCGCAGTCTCTTGATGGTGAAGTACTTGGATTTCTAGGGCTGGATAAGCTGTTATCACCGACAGTCTCTGCTGAAAGCGGCACGTTAACAGTGTGTCTCCGGTGCATTAATTTACTCCTGTGAGGAACTTCTTCTAGCATGTCGTCATGTTTCACAAACTCACTGCTGCATCCTGTGTCAATAATCTTAACTTTGCTCTGGTCCAGCATGTCAACAGATCTTAACTTGGTCTTATCAAAGCTTTTAATAGCTAACTGTGAGGACAGAAAAATGGTACGTTAAAAGCACTGCCTACTTTCTTCAGTACAAAGAAGTAAAATGAATGTAGTGTTTCTTGAATATAAGTATCACATTAGTTTCATGATATTCTTTATATTAAGAACACAGTCAGGGATTAAAAACAGCATACTTTTTAGGGCAGTAATCATACTTGGTCTACATATATGAAAACAAGGAGAGGCCAGCCTGCCCCAGGCTACACATACATGTGTACCAGAACTGAAAAACAATGAAGGCCTGCCAGAACTGATTTTCAATGTACTACCCCCAAGTCATCCTAACTTTTCTCAACACTTTTGTAACGCAAGTCTCAAGGTACTTCAAATTAACAGCTGTTTCTTTTACCATTAGGAAACACATAAGTAGTAATATGGACAGGCTCTGTCAGCCACTGCTGAAGGCAAAGGCGAAACCTCCCAGGTATTGTCTGTTGGAAGAGACACCTACCCTCACCGCCCCCCTTAAAGACTCTTCAGTCATTCCAGCTATAGTTATCTTTCATTTCCACATCTGCTCCTGATTTTCCCTTTTCAGAGCGGGTGACTTTCCTCAATTACTGGCGACTAACTAAGAGAAAAAGAGAATCCAAGCATGCTAATGACAGGTTTTCCAAGATAAGAACAAAAGGCAGAAATTAATTACTATACCCTTTTACTGAAACAATGGGAACAATTTTTAACATGTTTCAGATGGAGATTATATGTGTTTAAACCCACTAAAGCAGCTGTATGACTTGTAAATTCATAAAGCCACAACAGTCACACACGGTTGAACTGCTATATATCATGGTCATATAATAGCTTTTTGATACCTGCTGTACTTAAACGACATACTGCCTTCAGCAAGCCACAGTTATAAAATCTAAATCCCACATTAATCAAATAGTGGGACATTATCATTAATACTAGAAAAAAATAATAAAATATTACAGTTTTATGGCATTAATTTGGCATTCTCAAGGGTCTTCACAAATGTTAAATCTTGTACAGACTCTATGAAATAGAACAGCGTTCCATTTTTCCAGACAGGGATGACCAGCAGAGCTTGCATCTGCCAGGCTGTGTCATAATAATGGGCAGCAACTGAACTAACTCTTTTAGTAGAAAACCCTTTTCTTCTGAATAGGTTAGTTTTTGTCTTGATTTGGCATGCTCATATGGCTCTGGAGAAAGTCCTGTGAGAGTGAAAGCCAACATAGAAGAGGAAGGGGGTGCACATGCACTGGGGGGAGGTCAGACTGGTGCAAGGTGCCACAGTCCCCTCTGCCTGAGACGAGCTGGTTTCACGTACCTGGGTCACAGCTGACAACACCATGTGCCGTTTGCTATCACCCTGGAAAACAATCTCCTCCCACAAGCAGACTTATGCAAACCCTGCTTTTCATTTACTGAAAAATTTCACTCTTGTATACAGCATCTCTGCTTGGCTATAGCGCTTATAAGCCATAGAGTTTTTCAAGCCTTGGTATAACCTAGATTTTACTAGACATGGCACAGAAAACAAGACTGAGAAAACAGGACTGAGACTCCAGTAAGAAGCTTAGGAGGTTCAGAAGTAAGATGTTTAAGAGGTGTTATGAAAGCACCGTTGAAGTTTAAATAACGATGAAGCATCAGCAATTTAGCAAACAGGTCAGAACCTGTGAGATTTGCCGACCATCACTAGTAAAGAAACTTTCCTGTTCTATCTATATTAACAGCAGAGAAAACAGATTTTCTATATTACACAAATAATTCAAGTGAGTATTTCCACTTACCTGATGCAGTAACTGATAGTCAAAATTAGGGACACTTTTATCTCTTGTCATTGTTCTCCGTAAATGTTTTGCTCTAAAAAGTATTTTAAAGAAATTCAGTGTAACTACAGAAGTCTTTCCACAGAAGTCCTGATCACAGAAAATCCACCAGCTGCCACTACCACAACATAGAAAAGCTACTATCTGACAACACCTGCTCAAAAGGAGAGCCTACTAGTATTTTGTCACAGAACAGACATTAATGTTTAAAAAGATCATAGGCAAAACCCAACAATTGAGTGAAGCACTAAAACAATATTTTTCAAGCAGTCTGGCTCTGAAATTTTTAATCTACGGTACACCGGGTATTAGGGTGAAAAAAAAATTTTGAAGGCATTTGCAAGTACTCCTTTGCCAGGCAGCTTTTCCCTCCTGCGGCACAGCACGTCACTGCTGTTCCCACCGCTGGGTCTGTCGTGCCTGGAACATCTGTCTGGTGATACAAATGTGCGTGCCTCAGAGGATGAACAGCTACTGTCAAATCAGTCATACGAGGTGTGCAACAATGACTTTTTATGCTTCTGGGCTTTATTAACAGTTGTATATCTTGTTTGCTTATGGGAAACAAACACACTTCTTAGGAAGTTTCTATGCTTACTTGTTAAATCTGTTAATTGATTGGACCAGTTGAAGTTGTCTGCTTATGGGATCATCAGCTTTCTCACATGGCTTAGAATTCACTAGGGGTTTAAAAGAACAGGCAGCTAAAATTACAACTGAGTCACACTTAAGAATTAAAAAAACACAGTTCTGAAAAGTGGTATATACTGACATTTGATTTAGAATTTTACAGTAAAACTATAATAGTTACTAGCTTGAATCAGAGTCGCAACTTATCTTTGAAAATTTTAAAGCATTTTAAGTCGCAAAAGTAAACACTCCTTATCAGATTAGCATGACTGGCCAAGCTTCTGAAAAGACCATGTAATTCCGGACTTTGAGGGCCTAAATTCAGATTTTTAAAAACCTGAATTAACACACAGATACTATACTACCTCTTCATTTATATTACTTACTCATGTCTTCTACTGTTCTTTCAAAACTATTCTCATAATATTAGAAAGAACTACATCAATTTTGGTCATCAGCATACTGTCATTAATTTTGGTTTTGTATTAACAAAACATTCATAATCTTTCCTAGAGAAGCAGGAAAAGTCTTTCTGAAAAGTCTAAAACTCGTGGATCCTGAAACAGGCACTCCTGCTCCTCACCTTCCCTAATTCCTGCTCGTGCAGCCTCACTGTCTGCTTTCCAAAGTTCTGGTGGCAGCAGGTCCCTTGCTATGCTGAGTCGTCCAGCTCAGCAAAAAATTGTTACAGCCCTTGCCCCAGGTTAGTGAAGTCTTATCAGCTTGAAAATTTTATCTGAAAAACTTCTGAGCCAGCATAAGGGAAGCAGTGGATAAAGAAGACCAGAAGCTGAGGGTGAGAGGGAAGAGGTGAGGATGGACGGTGAGTAGCACCAGCTCTCTTTAAGTGTCAATAAGCCACTACATCAGCTCAGCTGTCTGGTCAAACTGTACCACGTGCCCCAACATATTTGCTCAGACTCTACTACATGCTGCCATTTACTCAAAGTCCTTCTTTTGCAAACTGTGTTTAATGGTTTAGACAGTAACTTTGGTAGCTCTTGGTAACTAATGGAGGGGTCACTCCCTAACCTGTTTTAAGGAAACATAATTGACTAGAGACAATTTAATCTGTTTTACTTTGCACTGAAATGGACAATTACTAAATGGTTAATGATATCTTCTCAAATATGACATGTTTTTTAACTTTAAATGGTTTTGTATGTAAAATTCCTCCCCATGCACTGGAAGTGAAAACTAGGTTTACCACGATGTCATGAACAGAATACAAAGTCTGCCACAGTTAGTTATAGTGTTTTAGGTGTTACCTGTAATAAATATGCAAAATAGTTGACTGTTCTCTAATTATATGTAAATCAATTATATAAATTATTTTATGTAGTTGCACATGAATTCCTAAATCCCTTTTTATTCACACCAGGAAATACAACATGTACCTTTTTTTCTTATCTTGATAGTAGCATGCTGCTCACACTCCTTTTCTCTCTCTGCTGATGTAGGTACATAGCTTGGTGCTGTTTCCAGCAACTTAGTGATATTTGAATTCTTAATTTAAAAGTTTCCATTTTCACCATTATTAAAAAAAAAGAAAAACATCAGTACAATTTAGGATTCTAGTCTATGCAGAGTGTGTTAATTGCTGCCAAAATGAACGTAAGTTACACAAAAAAACCTCATAATAAATACAACCTTTAAATTATATCATTTTGAGTAGGGACAAAGTCAGTGTTCTGCAAGTTGCACTGTACTGGAGTGGTGATTTTGAAATCTTGACCTGTTATTTTAAATTGTATTATTTATGGTTAAGCTAATTTCAGTTTAAATGGCAATACAAATACTAAAATTGATTCAGTACCGAATTTTGTGGTCATTATGCTACATCTCAGAGGCTATTTAAGCACATAAAGATAGGGACCATGTATCATATTTAAAAGCCAAGTAATTCTTTATAATTTAATATTATGTGTAATGTTATTGCTTTTAATAAAGGGGAAGGTCAGAGTTATTGATGACAAGATAAAAGGTATCAAAAGGCACAAAGAGCAAAAGATGGGTGGGTGGCACAAGGAAGACTGCTAGCACTGTAACTGATTAGTGAAAAGTGTTCATTTTCCTACATTCAACAACATTTCTTATGCTCTCTCTGCCATTACTAGCATAGATGTTAATGGCATTTTCACCCACATACGTGCTTTCACTCTTTCTAGACTCTTCCTTTTTGTCTAAAATAATTGATTTTAGAAAAACAAGAGGTTTCATATTCCACAGGTATTATATTGCACACTGTAAAATGAACAGACATCTAAGTTTTTGTATCACCCCTAATCATTAACTACAGAAGTCTTGGCAAATACTCTCCTGACAAATAGTTGCATTTGCTTTCTTTCCTACATTGTGCATATGGAACTTTAGGAAAACCAATCATCCAACAAGAGCTTTGTGCGCTCACCGGCTCAGCGCAGTCTGCAGGGGTACAGTTCCTTTCGTTCCTTATGTGCGTCACGGCACCGTTCTGAAGCAGCAGGTCCACCAGGGCTTCGTTCTTGCCTATCACGGCCTCGTGCAGCGCTGTATTGCCTTTGGCATTAGAAAGGTTGACAGAAGCTCCATGCTGGACAGCAAGATAAAATTGAGGTTATTAAAGAGAGAATAGCATGAATTGGAAACAGAACACTACTATTCAGTTTTTTTCTCCTTTTCTCTGTATGAATGAGAACAACAGAATCTTTCTAGCTATATACAAGCACAGAAAGCTCCAGTTAGCAATCACCAGTTCAACGATAAGCCACCTGATCATATTATTTCCTCCTCTCTCATAGCCACGATTTCACAGATCAGGCAATTTATTTTTTGTCTATATCTACTACATATTCCAAAATGAAGAGATATTAATAACTTAAATAAATCACAAACCCCCCTATGTGACAGACTCATAAGCGAGCAAACCTAACATCTGCCTCAAAAAAAGTTCCATAAAAACAGCTAGCTGTGCAATAGTAAAGTAGTATTTATCTAATAAAAAAAACATGACAGGAAGGGACTGAAAAGAGCAAGATGACACTCTTTTTTCCCCCCCAAGTAGTTTTGACAGACAAATGCATAACTACATAAGCACAGATATGACATAAGAAATACTATTCTGAACATTCTGTTCTCAGTGATCTTACCTGTAACAACAGGGCAGTTGTCTCATATTGACCATTCAAGCATGCATAAATTAAAGGAGTATTTCCATATATATCCTTTTTATTTTGTTTAGCATCGTAATCCATCAGACACTTCACCACCTATTGAAAGTAACAACTTTTTAATTTAAGATAGCAGCTAACCATAATCGTGCAGTTAAAGCTCCTCTTTTTTTTTCTTTTTTTTTTTAAATCTAAAATGGAAGACATGGAAGAAAACAAGTCTCATCTTTGCCAAACAGATAAGCACAAGCACCTCTTCTTATCACATTAATTTTCATATTTTACCAAACCCTTAAAAAAAAATACAACAAAAAACCAAACTTTAAGCAGCTGAAAGACTGACCAGAAAATAAAACTCAAGGTATGTGCAAAACATACATAATCAATAACTTAATAAAACATTAAAACCAAACCACAACAGCAACAGTATCCCTTTGCCCTTCCCAGACTCATCACAATACTTGTTCTTTATGTTGTAAATACTCCAAGAACTAACATTTAGTAATCTTCAAGTTTGAGTTGTATTCTCATTTTCTTCTTGCTTCCCTAGTGTTTTGTCTCCCCATTATCTTCACAATTCCCTTTTTCTTTTTCCTCTTGCAGTCCTCAGTTCCTTATTCTGAAATCCTAGTTTTCTACTTCTGTGCATATTCCCATTTGCCTGGCTGCACCTGCTTTTTCATGATCCTTATTTTTCCTCTCTCAATTACTCCTCCTCCTGTATTAATATTCTCTCCTCAGTAGCTTGTGCTTCTCCTTCACTGCTTACGCAGAGGAGGTTATCTGCTACCCTTAGAGCTCCACTTGGCTTGTAATCTACTTAAATGAGTTGAAGATACAGTAAATATTTACTACAGTGGCTACTGAAGATACCAAGTCCATTGCATCAACAGATGTACACATAACCTCCTTGAACAGAAGGTACAAAGAGAAAATACACAGGAAGATTCAGTTATACGGTATTTCTGAAGCGTTTGCTGTACAACAGTAGCTATTCCTCATTAAACCCTTCTTTCAAGTCATTCAGAAAGAAAGGTGCCCACTGAAACTGTTTCAGCTGGAAGATCCCCTGCTCCATCTGGAGATTTTAGACACTGAAGAAAATACAGAATCACCAAACTAGTTCTCAACATCACTGTTTCAGTCCTGTTGATAATTCACTGATAACTTCACAGAACAGCTTTTTGGTGGTGGTGGTGAAGCACTAAAGAGCTTGCACTTAGGAAGAGGCTCAGTTACCTGGAAGTGACCTTTCTGGCAGGCGAGGTGAAGAGGAACTGCATGGTTTGCATTTTTGGCACTGATGCTGGCTCCATGTTTTAGCAAGAGCAAGACAAGTTCAGAGTGTCCGTGTAGCGCAGCCATGTGCAATGGTGTAAAACCGTCTTGGTTCGAAACATTTACTCCAAGTCCATTAGCAGAGATCCTTGCAAATTTCTATTGAGGAAAATTTAAAAAAACCCACAATATTATATAATTAATCATGCTGCTTTCTGCTAATCAACAAGCAGCCAAATACCTGCTAAGTATAAACAAAACAGGTAGATGCACATTACAAGAACTTTTGCTACAGAGCCTAATTTGAGACCCTCAGGAAAAGAGTGAGTAAACCAGATTAGTTTGGTAGTATTTTTCAACAGAACAGTGAGTTTTACTTTTCTCTCTTTTCTCCCAACACGACAGCTTCATGAAGAAATTCTAGACGAAGTATTCATGATATTAATAATAGGCTGAAGCAGCAAAGGTTGAGGTGGAAGTAAAACTTAAAGAGTTTATATATAGCTGTTATGTTGTACATACGGAGAGGAGGTGTTAATATTATAAGTTATTGTCATTTATACAGACATTTATGCTCTTGGAGACAGACACTACACACCTATTTTACTGCTACATGTAAAGCTCAATGTAATAAAGATTAAAACCACAATTAATTTTATTCATATGGAAGTAACACTGGGCCAGAGAACAGACTCCCACAAGGAGTCAAGATAAGGAAACTGCCTGGAAGCCAGCTTAGCCAGCAGTCCAGAACATCCTTTTTTTTACTTCTCTCACACACCACATAGGTGCCTAACATTTACAGTGGTAGACAATCTTCCATTGTGCCTAGCTGCAGTGTGCTTTTAAATGTGTACCTACCTAGTAGAGTGGCTAAGATTAGTTAACAAGTTCCTTTTACTTTTCATTCAGTGGGCAAGTAAATTCCATAGCAAATGCCATTCCTTCCCCTGTGATCAATAAAATGAACTTTATGGTCTCAGGCTCTGGCATCTTGAGCACATGATCTCTGTACTGAGGGCATATGGACACATGTTACCAGAGAACAAAGAATGTGAAGCACTCAAGGACTAATAGACTCGTGTCCTACACAAAATAAACATAAGGTAGCAGTGAGGAATTTCGAAGAAGTTAAGCCATCTCACATTTTCTCACTTAACTGATATGAGTACTGTTACCTCAAAGAGCCAATACATTGAAAATTCATACATTGGTCTATTTTGCAGTAACTTATCCAGTTAGGTAAAACTTCAGACATAGTAACACACTTTCTTCCTGAAAGGCAAGTAATTAAGTTTTCTATTTCCAAGAAGCTGGCATCATTCCTTATTTAAATTAAAAATAGGAAAGTGTATTGTAAAACCTGTTCTCTTCTACAGTCAATAATAAATAAGGGGAAAGGAAGTCTTTGCAATTATATTTAATCTCTGGAGAGGTTTTAGATACAGCTTGTATAAAAGACGTCTCGCAATTAAAAAAAGACCTTATCAACATTACATTCATTATAGGATTAGCAGGTATTCCTTGCTAAACTGATTACTAACAGACAAGTAGATGCTCTATGACAGTTATCAATGTAAACTATAAAAAGAGAACCAGGAGAAACTAAGGCTTAGAAAAAGGTTTTTCCCATTTCTTCAAAGCTGTCCAAACCATAATGACAGCAGTCACCATATTCTAGAAGCAAACTGCAAAGTTTTTTTCACTTCAGCAGATATTGAGCAAATCTCTGAACAATGTTCCTGAATCCAAAATGTTCTACAGTTCAACTGAAAAGAGAAAATTTCATGGCATCACATGAACTCTGTTAAGATCTGTATGTATTTAATTGCTTTTAGAAGGGTGTTGGGCAACATGAATAGAGTTAAAAGTTACATAACATGAAAATATATTATTCTTTTTTACAGAATGAATATTCCAACCTTTTGCACTGGCCCACATTTCGAGCACTGGCATAATGGATGGCAGAACTCTGGTTTTGATGTACTGGCTGTGTCATCCTCATCTTCTAAGTCTTCTTCCACCCATTCCAAGAGATAACGTACCTGGCATAAAAAGCAAGTTCTCCTTTATAGAGTTCAAAGGTTCCATGTCCTAATAAATTTGCCTATGTAGGCAAGTAAGATTTCACAAAAATATCCTCGTGAATATCTCAGGGAGACTGTACAGCTACCTCCTAGCATCGGCTGTCCACAGGCCAAATTAAAAAAAAAAAATCAAATATTATTGACAAAGCAGCCAGAAAATTTACCAAGTATAGCAGCAAAGTAAATTATAAATGAGTTCCTCCTGCCTAATCAAGACTTCAGTGTTCACCTATTCTCAAACGCTCCAAATCCTTTTAGCTCAGATGATTTGGGCCAGCTCACATCAACGTGAAGTTTGCAGGTGCTACAATGATGACAAAGGTTGTTTTCTGGCTTCCTGAGCAATCATAGTATAATTTTAATTATTTTTTTAAAACTTTCAGTTTCATGGTACTTTTTTTTAATGCTCCCTCTCTTGCAAAGCTCAATTGCCCATCACAGCAGAAATGTACAACACCAGAAATGACCCTACTGCTGCTTCTGTTCCTGTGAAGACAGACCTCGGGCTGACAGAACAAGATAAGAGTTTTTAAGTAATTATGGTTCTTTAGCAGATATGCAGGCTGTAACCTTTGCTATCCAAGTGGGCAATTCTCTTTGTAAGTAATACCTTCACATAAACTTGAGTAAGATGTAAAGTAAAGACTCCCGAAAATAATGTGACCCTGTCATCTGAATGCATAGATTTGACTTCTGTATGCTTTTCATTGCTGGTATCTGTTGAACAGTGCTAGATACTAATTTTCCAGCAAATTATGTATGTAATTTATGTACGGTCTAGTCGAGAGATGGCGTCCCTGCCCATGACAGGGAGGTTGGACTAGATGATCTCTAAGGTCCCTTCCAGGCTAGGCCATTCTATGATTCTAATTTTCTTTAAATATTTTCATGATGCAGTTTAAATTTTAAACAAAATCTGCCTAAGACAAAACTTTTAAAGATTTGTGTCATCTTCAGTTTTTCAGTATGATGACATTGGAAGCACCTTATTGTTCAAATTTTCATGAATAAAGGGCAACAGTAAGTAAAAAGTATGTCAAGACAGGCAGTAAGTATCACAAATTATAGAACATCAACTCCGAAACTGGCATCATTATAGCCACCAGCTACTTATTTGAAGTGAAATCCAAACTACAGGAAAGCTGTATGCCTCTAAGAACTTCTCTGTACTGACTGATGTCATCTACATTTGCTCTCTGTATGAAATAGTAATGAAAAGGTATGGCAGCAAGCAAAATAGGAGCTCATTTTTCATTTATAGTACCTATGCACCATTCTTACATGCAGTAAACACACCATAAGGACTCTTCAAAGCATTAGAGAACCTGGCAATTTCAGAATCAAAAAGCATTTGTGGATTTAAAAACCATTTTATTACTGGAATATTTCTCAAGTCAAAAAAAGACAAACTGAGAATTCCACCACTCAGTTTCCAGAACTGGTGCACAGCGTTGCCACTTGAGCACATGCATCAGTTCACATATGAGAAGATACAAAGCGATTCTGTGACATAAGAACAAACAACTGGGAAGAGTCACACTTCCTACTGGATTTGCTGTAAAAAAATCAGGTTTACCTGAAAACCTATGTATTTTGCCTTTTTTTTTTTTTATTTGTGTTGACTGTATATCCAGTACAACATTGTGACCTCAGTACACACATCTTTTACAGTTCTGCAGTGCACCATCCTCCCCATCTAACAACAGCATTTGACAGTGCAGCTTCAGCACCTGTGAGCAAATAAATTGGTCTTTCTCACAATACTTCTTGTAAACATGCCTGCCCTGAATGCTGCTCTTCAAGTTCTTTGCATCTCCTAGAGGTGATCATGTACACATTTTTAAATGACAAGCCTTCAGAAAGGATTTATTCAATTTAAAGTAATTTCCTTAGTGTAAGAGGCTATGGAAATGTCAAAATAGTAGGCCTTAAAAGCACTGTAGATAAACTAATTTGAGGACATGGAGTGAATATTCTTAGTATGAAATGAGCTGAATTGGATTAATTATTGCTGAGGGAAGGTATTATCCAAAGCACTTTTCACTTACTAGTATTTACTAATAACTTCCTCGATTTGAATGAGGTAAATTGGAATTCAATACTATTCAACAGCCATGCTAAGACTCACCATTTCCAGATCTCCATCAGCAACTGCTCTTAGGAGTTTTTCCACCTATGTATGAACAAAACAGGTTATTTGCTTTCTTAGTGTTGGCATTAAGCTGTACACAGAAAATCCCATGTTCTTTACTAACCTCCTAAGCTCATGTGGTAAGATTACTGCTGGCTCATTTCATACTGGTTGATAAAGGAAAAACCTTGTTCCTTCACGAAATACAAAAGCTGTGCAAGGCCTGTGCCTGTATCATGGTCTCTGACTTGCTTAAAGATAAAAATACTTACCTAAACAGATGACATAAAGTCCATGCAAACAAAGCCCTGTAAGGGCTTTTTTATGCCACTTCAGCAGCAGCTGACCACACATGGTCAGTTAGGTGAACCTAACGTTAAGAATTCCTACTCAAGGCAAACTTCTCCCTTGATAAACACTAGTGCTGTATGGACTCTTGATAAGCTACTATATGCTACCAGAAGCATAAAAGATGGCAGGTTGTGTTTTGCTATTTGAGAAACAACAGTTTAGGATGAAAAAGATGACTTCTGATTGTTCATATCTGCAGATTACTGCTTTATTCCTATGATAAATTAAATATTTACAAATCTAACTTGACTGCATGAAATTTGTTTTCTTACTTAAAATCTGAAAAGATATAAATATCAAAAGGGCATGCCTTAGCAAAAGCCAGGTCTCCTCAACTCAGAGTTATTCCAGGGGACCAGTATTAGATCAATTATGTGTATGCCAGCTAGTGCCTGAGCACAACTGCTTGCTGTTGGTATTCTGGTTTATGAATTCCGCAGGGGAAAAATAAGAGGCAAACAGGGAAGAAAAGACAGAAGGTGCTCTGCAGTGCACTGCTACCGCTCCCCTGATCCCTCTGATTGCTTGTGAAAACAGCAGAACAAGATGTACTTGTCTCCCTGCTGCTCCTCTGAATCTCGGCTATCACATGAAGGAGTTGAGATCTAACGTGATCAAAGTGGGACGGGTGCCAGTAAAAGGGCAGGGAGACTCCAGTGCTACTATCAACAGGCAACTTGTCTAGCCTCTGCAGATTATTGAAGAATCATTTAATAAACTTTGTGAAAATCTGTTTCAGCATTGCATCATGTTATTCTAGCAGTGTGCTACAATCAAAGACACTGTTGTGTAACTAAAATTGTTCCAATATTAACAAACATCTTGCAAGTTGAGTAGGTCATGGAGTAACAGCCACAATCACACTTCCATCTCCATCTAGAAATTACTATCTTGCCAACTGACAGCAGCATTTGATAAAGCAAACAAGGAAGGATGAGAGTAAAAGGAAGTTGTGTTTTTACTGTTCTGGTCTCTTTCCTCGGGGTTTCAGCAGAAGAGCAGGACACATCTACAGCTGAAAGATTAGAGGTTAGATTAACTCTCTCCATCCCTTTTTACCTCTTTTTATTAAAGCTGCTAATTCTATTTTACTACTACCTTTCTAATACAAGGTGAAGCTCCTTGAAGTCAGTATTCCTCCTTCCTAACTTTGAATGTCTATAAGTTAGCTCTCTAAACATAAGCCAGTCGTTTAAATTCAACCTCTGGCAACTTCAGAACAAAACACAGTCAATCAATGACACTCAAGTGCAACTCGGGTCAAACTACACATGTCCGAGTAACTCCTCTTTGGAGGTACTGATTTGCCTCCAGTAAGGAGGGAAAATAGATGTCTGAAGTTAAGACAATTGTCTTCAGATATCTGAAATTAAGTGAGCCGGATTCCAATCTCTACACAGGTACACCTAAAATGAACTCAGTACACTAGGGAGATCGGTGCCTCCCCTAAATTTCTGCTGATTGTATAGGACAACATCACTAGAGAATGTAAAGGTCTTGATGATTTTCAGGAGACAGTCTTTATCACATACAAGACACTTGAGAGTAACAGCAACTGACCTACAAGCTCTGATAATTTCTTTCCAAAAATAACAAATTCCTTACAGTCCCAAAAACTGCCTCAGGCTCTAGCACTGGAGAAGCATACAGCATCTATTATGCATCTTATAGATAATTTATTATGAGTACTTAGGGGAAAATGTCCTGTACATGCACTTTCCCATCTTCCCAGTTTGCTTTCTTGCGCCTCCATGGAACAGAAGTACTTTACTTTAAATGTAAAAGTAGATGAAACAAATCTACTGCAATTCACCTGCATGCTCAGGTTTTTCTGTTGCTGAGCAGAAATTGTGCAAGGAGCTATTAGTTTCAGCAGAAGCAGCTCCAAATTTACATGCCCGGCATTTTTTCTTTTCCAAGTTGTAAAAAAGGCACGTACAAGACACACACCACGACTGGCTCGTTTTAGCAAAGTTTAATTTACCAGCAGTATTGATTAATAAGGGTCTAACTGCATCCCCTTAATCCATGGTCTAAGCCTTGAGGTCTGGAAAACTGACCTTATCGGCTTCCCATTGCCTCCAGCAGCATTCCCTTCATGGAGCTTGCTCAGGATTAGGCCCTTGCCTCTTTACTTAGCAAAAATAAGAGTGGTGAGCCCATGTGAAACTTGACTGACAGAAATTAACTAAAGCTGGATTACAGGAGAAGGTCATTAACCTCAAGAATCCAAGGTGTAAGCTGCTTGTAATCTTCTTCCCTGGTTTGAACTTCAGTCTTAGCTCTTAGGTGTGATAAATTTATTCCTTCAAGGAAAAATAAATCCTCAATCTATGAGGTGAGCTTTTATGTGCTTGAATCTGTCCAAGCAGGGAGGTACAATCCTACACTAAGGTTCTCACAGAGTAACTGATAATGAAGTGCGACGTAATATTGTCCAGTCAAACTTTACATTTTTGTAGAAAACAAACTTTTGGCAAGAGAAGCAGCTTTTAATAGTAGGAAAAGAAAGAATTTAAATGTAGAGGTCACAGAGCAAGAAATAAAAATACTAAGGAGGTCAGTCTGGAAAAAAAAGGAACAGGAGGACTGGAAAAAAATAAATAGAGAAGCATCAGAAAGAGTGGTGACATGACAGTCTTCAAAGGGGATAAATGGAAAGTATGGATCTGAGGTCCCACATAAAAAAAATTAAGTGGGTGGCATCTTGGTGTGGGTAGTGCAAAATCAGCAAATGCTTATGTGCAAGACACTTCGTATATAGCATATACTTCTTCATATGTTACAAAATTGATTTGCTATGCCTATTTTGAAAGCTTGTCTTAACATTCTAGTTTGTCAAGTTGTTTGCCAGTATGCCTGTACTGGTCCCTTATCCTGACAGAAGCTAACAGTGACATTTAACTCCTGGACAGGACAGCAAGGGGCACTGACTGCTATTGTAATTTTGTAAACCTCAACATATTCTCAGATTACATAGTTAATTGCAGTAAATTTGAACTATTGCATATACACTTTCAATTTCTCCCCAGAAATAACAAGTAGAGCAGTTGAGATCATACAAAAATACGTGTTTAGATACTGAGATGACAAGCTCCTGAGGATAGCAGCATATATAATTTTCCAAACTAGACAGAAGACTACTTCTGAAAAAGCAGTTTAAACTAGTGTTGCAAAGTACAATCTTCTAGCCTCCTTCACTTTGCTTATTGTCAAAACTTATACCTCAGTCTTACCTCTTTGTAACTATTTTTTACTTCTTCTTGTCTTATATCAGTTGATGCTGATGAGAGGCTTGAGATAGATGATCCTCTGCTGAAAGTTTCTGTTGAGCGCTGAGGAGACCTTAGCGGTGACTTAAAGTTGGCAAAAAAAACCCAAACAAAATGGAAAAAGTTACGCACCAAATGAAGCGGTTGAAATGGTGGCAAAAAGAAGATTAGCAACTTGCACTGGTTGTTACCTCAGAAGCACTCTGTCCTCTTTCAAACGTTAAATAGTTTAATTCCATCAATGACAAAATCTGCATAAAAATATTAATAAAGAGAAACAATGTAACTCCACTTAACAAGGAATCTACCGACTGAAACAAATTAGCCGACAACCTAATATTAGCAACAGATTATGACTGAGCAGATTAAAAGTACCCATTTACAAGTTTATGTTCTATACCACAGCCTGTATTCACGCTATTACATTTAAAATGTGACCCTTCTTCCTTAAAGTGAAACATATATTTTCACTTTAATAGTACCAGACCACAAAACCCTATTAGCAGGTAAGCATCCACACCTTTGTGGAACTGCATCAGAGAGAAATTGGGCTAGAAAATAAAGAGGAATACCTTGGAATTTAATGCACATTGCAGGGAAGTCTCTTTCATCCGGTTCTGAATTTCTGGATTTGCCCCATTTTGCAAAAGCACTTCTATGATCCCTTGATAGCCCCAACGAGCAGCTATATGGAGAGGAGTATCTCCCTTTTCATTACCAATATCTAGTCTACAGGAATGCACATCATAGTAGACTAAAGCTTTGACACACTGGAAAGAAAAGGAAAGCTATCAATAAATTGTAGTATTGTCTCTCAATTCATGTAACATGCCATCCTAAAAAGCTTTTTTTCATTGTTGCTCATACAATCCATTACCTAAAGGGCAGCTCTTATAGCTAGTTGTCCTTAAACAGAGTCAAATAACTCTGCTACATTTGCACAATACTTTTAACATGAATGCATAATAAAATCCGCTACAAGAATACTGAACAAAGTCCTAATTTACAGAATTAAATAGATAACCTCCAAACTTTTTTATGTAGTATTTAAAATACATAAGTTTAGTGCAAATTCGCATCACAGTTTAATTCAATTCCATTAGAACGTCCACTTAGTGTGTTACAAAACAACTACTTACATCCTCATGACCGTAAGTGCAGGCTAAATGAAGTGGAGTATTTCCATTATTGTCCTGAACATCAGTACTTGCCTTATAGTGCAACAAAAGAAGCTTAAAATAAAAACAAAAGCAGACATTGAAGTAACTAAAAAACTAATGGACAAACACTTGTTACTCTCTAGATTCCTTTAGGTTTCTAGCATGATGAAGCACTTAATGAAAAACTATCTAAGCTGTCTCTCCTGTTTCAGACACTATCCTCTTGGCAATACATTACTGCTTTTGCCCTGCCCTAAGAACCAAATAAAAGCTGCTTCTTACATATTCAGAGTTGTCACTGAAAAAATGAAAGATCTACTGCCAACACTGCAATACATGTACTACATCACAATTTATCATAGATTTTAAAAGCCTACCTAAGTGAAGAAACAGCTTAATTTCAACAACGCTATTTTGAAGAATCTCACACATAATAATGCAGTTACAGAACCATCCTAAACACAACGTGAAGTCATTTAATTCACTCCAGTGATTGCAATGGTTCTTCTGTCTTAATGAAGAGCAGAGATGTTAACAGGTCTGCATTTGTACTCTGTGTTAGAGATTTGTATTAATAAAATGGATTCATTGTGAGGCATGCATAGCCGTCAATTGCTTGGTTATTACAAATGGCTGAAAACCTCGCAGTATGGGCAAAAATAAAATATCGCTCAAACTACAGTGACAAAAGATCCTCAGTTCAGACACTGTGCATAGCTCCGGTAAAAGCTTCTCAGAAGACCTAAACGACAGTAACAGTAGAACAGCTTAGCAAGAGTCATATATTTCTTGTTTAGTTTAAGTATTTCTTTTATTTATAACTAAGCCTTTTGGTGCTTACTGTAACATTTTGATATCCCTTCTGACAGGCAAGGTGAAGTGGAGTTGAACCATGGTAATCTGTAGCATTGACAACAGCTCCTTTCGCTACTAGTAAATCCACTAATGACGTTTGCCCTTGAAAAACACGCAGATATTAAAAGAAAGGAGTAAACTTAGCACACAAGCATTGCTACTTTACTAATACAAACACAAACTATAATTCCAAATACTGTGCATTTCTGTATACTATGTTTCTATATACTGTATATTAACTTCCTTGGTATTTGAGAGTTTTTGCCTTGCAGATTACTCAAGGTCAAAGCTGCAGAAAGGAACCTCAAGCTAAAACCGAGCTGTGCTTGCATCTTACAAGTAAGAAGAGAAAATAAAGTCATGTCACAGAAAGCACTCTCCTGTTGGAATTCAAGATAATAAAAAAAGGAAACTACTTATAAAAAACTTGCTACAAAAATATTCTCATAAACATAAGATCACTGGCATAATGAACATTACAAGACAGGAAACAGTACAGATCTAACATGCACAGCCAGCTGCAGGAAAGAGAAAAGATTAATTTCTCCATCTGCTGGTTCTTCAAAACAAGGCCAGTTTCTGATGACACATTCTGACTTTTTTCACAGCTGAAGGAAGAACTACTATGGTAGTATGATAACTTCAGTCTGTACCAAGATACCAGTTGCCAAAGCAAATAAGCAGAAAACAATTGAATACAAAGCTGGAAAACATGCCAACATAAAGATAAGGAACACAGTAAGTAAAAGGCAGTAGTGAAGAAAACAAATAATACTCACCACAAATAGCAGCTACATGAAGCGGTGTATATCCCCGGTCATCTCGGGAAAATGGAGTGATAATGGAAGGATCATTCAGTTTCCTTTAAAACACAACGGATTAAAAGCAGCTCGGTTACCTCTGCAGCAGTGGTAAGGAGGAGAGACGGAAAAAATTGCTATGGCAGACAGATAAAAACCTGATTTTGGAACTTTTTATCCTTTACACTTTCACATTGACAAACTATTCTATACGGAGTTTTACATTTTGTTAAGACACCTGGTTTTGCCCAAGGTTCAAGAGAAGAAACACTTCACACCACGTTTACCAAAGGACACACAGCCTCCATCACAAAATTGTTTGGTTCCAAGGCATTCAGTATTTGCCTATTTCTTCTGCTTTTTCAAGCCACATGAACATACCGTCTCTACTACATCCTGAAGCGCCACCAACATCCTCTATAACCAAAAGCAGCGCACTTTCTAAAGTAAATCTTAGACGTACACTTTTACGTAGCTTTTCATGTATTTGTGGAGATGAACAGTGCTTACCCAGAAACTAGCTTCTCACATTTGTCACAGTAACAGAGGGGATGACACATTTTTTGTACAGTGTCCTTATCACTGTCACCTTGACTCAGTAATCGCTCCACTTCCTCCTGGTTACCTGAAGCAATATGCTACAAAAAGCCAAGAGAAGAAAGGAGAATGAGGAACCAATACAAAAAGCCCTCTTTTAAAGAAAAAAAAAGAGAAAAAAGAAAAAAGAGTAATTTACTGAAGCACAAAACAAAAGGAACCAATTATAAAAGACATGTATTCAAGCATTAGAAAGCAGAAATGAACAATGTCGCAGCACAAAACCCCCCTAATGGACATTCAGTATTAAAACGAATTTGTTCTTGGCTTACTTCACTGGCTATAAAAATTTAAAACAATTCTTATTGTTCTCTTTGGACTCAGTCACGAAATTGAGCTCCCTCTGTGCAAAAACATTTCTATGAAATTACTAAGTCTCTAGACATAATCTGTGAACACATACAATTAGAAGCTCTGCTTTGTGTCCTTGTAAAGGCAAAAATCTTTTTGAATGACAATATGAGATTAACATATAATATGAAGAAGCTGTCAGGTGACCACATTTGAATTATTTCAGAAAATTCTTTTAATTTCAAGTACTAAAAGCTGTGAGAAACAACCAGACAGAAATATCAGATCTGTGCATTATATAGGCCAATCTATAACCAAAGTAGCAGCATTTCATCCTCCTTTGTTTCCATAGTTTGCACAACATGCTGAAATCCAGATTATATTAACTTGGTAATGTTTTGGCACAGAAATGCACCAGATTCAAAACAGACTTTCAGTATCTACTAAAACACATTTTGAAGTACTAATCAACGCTGCACTCCATTTCAGAAAATCACGGAAAGGAAGGGATACAAACATGCAAGAGGTAAGTACATACATATTCTGCCATAAAAGTTTTTAACCTTAAATAAGCAGTCTATTGGAGTAGCAGACATCTGAGACAACAAGTTCATCCTTTGTCTTAGAAGCAGCTTGTCACACAGGTTCTCAGATTCCTGAAAATAAAATGATATATTATCTATATACTCATTTACAGGAAAAAATAACTTGACAGCAAAATTAATTTTTAAAAATATTAAATATTAGATTTACCGCTTACGAATTATGAGCTGCATGTAAAACCTAAATCAGTTTCATGCTTGGGATGTTGACTTAAAAGACCACACACTTGCTGTTCAAAGAAATAATAAGCAGATGTTCACCACAATATTCCTTTTCTGTAATTCGTGAACTGAGCATTAGTGAAATTATATTTGTACTATCAAAAAAAGAACACTGTAAAACTAGAAGACATAACAAACATAACAAGAAATAAGAGGTGTGATACAGCTTTCTTATGAGGAGAAATTAGTATTCTTCACTCTGAAGAAGGTTTGGCTGTGCTACAGCCATCTATAAAAATTACAAAAGTTCAAAGAAAACGTGCAAAGAACAAATATCCTCCATTCCTGAAAGTGTAAGGACTGAGATGCCCAACAAAATCATCACACATTGGGCCTGGAGAGGGAGCAGGAAGGAAAAGAGAGAAAAGAAAAAGCGTTCTTTTATTGTAGGCCTCATTGCCATAAGATGTTGCAAAAATCAAAAGTATAAATGAACTCAAAAAGGCATTAGACAAGTTCTTGTAAGACAAGTCTGCTGGTGGCTGTTAAATAAGATGACTCAGATACAACTCTGACCCAAAGGCTCTGCTGAACTCTCTGCTACTTGCTGAAAATGAAAAGAGTGCACCAGGTGAAGCACTGCTCTGCAGCAGACTCGTTCATTCCAGGGGCTTCCTACTGCTCACTGCTTGGCAATCGGAGATCGAGCTAAGCAGACACGGACATGGCTGAGAAAGCTGAAGACACACTTCAGCATGCACTAAAGAACATACGCTTCCAAAACTAGGTGAAAATTCTTAAGTAGAGTCAACACTGCAGGCAACGTTGAACCTCACATGAAATAAAACCTAACTTTATACCTTACTTCAACCTTCTGAACTAGAGGATCTTACTGCACATTAGTAACTAAGGTCCAATACTTATTAACTGGAATTCTCATTAAATAAGGTTGGCAACTCCCAGAAAATAGAGGGGACTCTTTCTAGCATTTACACCCTCCTCTCCTCCTCAGAGCAAAAATGTCTTTGTGACTTTCATGACCTTGGATGAAGAGATTTGGCAGGTGTCTCCTAAATGCAGTTTTTGTACCAATGGTGATAATACACCCATTATCCCACAGGGTACATTAGTTCCCTGCTGAGTTTTCTTTATGTAGTTGCTTCATTAGCAGTTGGACAACAGCATTACTCAGCTGCCAGAAGCTCCATCTGAAGCCAGCTATAAAATTAAGCATAGCCACATGAGAGGCCAGAACAAAGCCCTAGGGCACAGAAACATTCCTGATCACTTAAAGCCCACAACTCCTTCCAGCACAATCTGGAAAAGGAAACCACGGGGCATCAATATGACAGCTGCTTCTGCTTTAAACAGAAAGTTATCTCCTTTACTACAGAATAAAAGAAATAATTGACAAATTCATGAAGGGAGTGAAAGGCTAGCAGAAGTTCCGACCGTTTTCCTGCACCTCCTCACCACCCTTTTTCAACTCCTGTCAAGGAACTATTTGCTGGAAAGTTTCTTCCTCTTCGAAGTGTGCCACCTTCCTCTCCCTTACCCTACACTAGAGCAGGTGGTCTAGCTCTTTCCTTTTCAGCTGTGTTAGGGGAACAGGGGATCACCCCTGTGCTCATCTTCGAGGTTCTGCTGTTTTCCATTTCATCTCAGGATGCTGCCTCTAAGCCCCATCAACTCCAGTGAAAGGCAACGTAGAGGAAAGGAGTTGCTGTCGCACACTCGCTCTACACTCACAGGAGTGAGGAAGTGAGAGGCCAGTGCTCCAGGGCTGGAGCTGATCCAGCCGAGGTAGGGACAGGAACACTTACTGCTTGCTCTCAATGGGTGCGCACACTAACGTAAGCAGTATAAGACTGCCCTCATTTGAGCTTCTCAACACTGTAGTTCATCTTTAAAGACAGATGCCTCTCAAAAAAATATAGTGTCTTAATGGCAGTGGCAGTTAAGTTATAATGACTTGAGGTCAATCCCAGCATGAAACACACAAACATGCTATCCTTAACTATTTAATGAGGGATAGGACCAGGCATTTAATAGGAAAGAGTCTTTATTCTAGACATTCAGAGCAGTACTTTTTTTTTTCAGCTTGCGGGCAGTGTTGTAGAAGACAATTCTACTTTGGTTCCAGTTCTCCATCCAGACCACCAGCATTGCTATTTGTATATTGATTGTTAATGATAGCCAAGTGACTGCAGGAAGCAAAATTGTTTGGCAGGTTTTTTTTTCTTTTCAACTAACTTTTTATTTATTTTTTTTTTAACATAATTCAATATAGCATTACAAACAAGAAATACCACAGTCTCTTTACACAAACTCAGAGTGCCTTTTTTAGTGTACAAAAACCTATGCATGACAGGTTCAGGAAAAAATCCCACAGAAGAACAAAACCAAAATAACAAAAGGCTAAAATGTTACTTTAAGTGCTGCTTCTTTAAGATTGTGCCCCAGGTCCCATACCAAGCCCTGTACACTGAGCCATTATTCTGGCTCCTGCAATTAGATTCCAGTGCTTTGCAGTTGGGCAGACTGAGACACGTTGAATTCACTCTGGTTCCAAGTTCACTCCTTTTGACTTCCACATCAGATCAGGAAAACCTAATTTTGCAACAGTAGAAAGTTTTATAGGAGCAGTAAGACTAGATTCCTTTACTAAATAAGCTACAAAAGTTCTTAAATCATAAGAGTTTTCTAAAGTCACATCAATATCATTCATTAGCCTGCAGGGATTTGACCTGATTGACAGGCTTAGTTGCCCAGTAGGAAATAACTCATGCATCCACAACCTTCCTGGCCCCGCTAGGTTAGAGATCCCAAGAGCCCAATTTGACCTTCAAACACCACCTTATCGTAGTCCTGCACTCCCATTAAACTATCAGCTTGGTGCAATGGTCATCTGCATTGCAAACATACTGAATTTTTAGAGTACAAAGATAATTCTAAATTATACTGCAATCTCCATTCTGCTTGCATAGCTAAGCCTTTTCAAATGATTATAAAGAAAAAATATCTGTTTAAGCTATGCCTACTCTCAAGTATTGTGTTGCTTTCACAGCCATGATAGAAAGAGTACAAACCAGGAGATATTAAACTTACTGAAGACTCAGCTGTTGAAAATAGTGCTGTCATTCTTCCTCTAATAATATGAAGAGGCAGACTTGACATTTAACTACTTCCTCAAGGAGTATATAATTGCTACAGGATTAGGACAGGTAGTAATTTCAAGCATTTTAGTATTACTTCAGGTATAGTTCCCTCAACTCATTTCTTTAAGTGCAAAAAAAGGAATTGTTAGCTGCTTGTAACCTGACTTTTACTCCACAGTGGTACAGTCCTACAAGCTTATCAAACCTAGACAGGCTAGAGGGCTGGG